TATTAGTTTAAATATATTGTCGTATGTGAACAATTGCCATTTTAACGTCACTACTTTTGTATAATTTATGATTTTATGTAGAAATAGTTAAATTATTAGTTTCAATATAATGGTAAACGGTTATCTTAAATAAAAAAATTCAAGACTTAAATCATCATCATTTGGCTCAATGACATCTATCTGTCAACTATTAATATCGCTAGGCCAAAAGCCTTTTAGGATTTTTATCTAATTTTTTGTTTTTAAACATATTTAATATTAAATAAAATTTAAAAAATATGTAATAATAATAGTATATATAAATTCAGGGCGGGTCCCGGGGAATTAAATATCCTCAAAGGCCCATGACGAACCAGAAAAAAATGACCCTTATCATTATTATAAGTTTTTATTTTTAATTAAAAATATATAATAAAAAAGTTGGCTTTGTACAGCTGCCAACTTTGTCCCCCTCCCCCTCTCTAAACGCCCCAAACATAATAATACATTAACAATATATGAAATTTAAAGTGAACCGATTATTATTATGATTATTATATAATAAACCTATTAACAATTTATAACATTAACTTTTAAATAAGATATTGAAAAACTTGTATATGTTGTAGGGTCCGACCTAATTATCTTGTTGGTTGTAAAAATTTAATGTTAATAAGAGATCTTCGAGGGAAATAACTAAAAATCAAAATGTTATCATTTCGACAAAAGGATTTTCAAAAAGAGTTTCAAAACTTCATTATAGAAGTAAATTGATTTATATAGAAAACGGTGATCTTTTACCTTTTTATTAAGCAACTGAAATAAGAACATAACTAATCCACACATTTTCCATATTTTGAAATACACTTAAAATGATTTGAACATCATTACATAGAAGCAACACCTTATTATATTTTTCATCGACTATTAGATTAGTCGATGTTTGATGCATACACAATATGAATCAAGACAATATGGAACCCAATCAGGTGAACACTTGAAGCCATTACAATCTGAAGTCGTCTGGCATATTTTAATCCAAAGTATGATTAACTTTTCTTTATGAATATGGTTTCTGCTATCTACAATGTTATTTTTCTTCAATTTCTCAGATTGAACTCCTGAAGCTGCAATAATTGAAAAAAAAACATATTGATTATTGCGCATTCTTCATAAGTTTATGAAACATATACTAAACCTCAAAAAAATTGAGAGAAATATGGAGAGAATAACCGGTAGTGAGCACCAATATAATGAAAAAGACTATTCTGAAGGTAGCATTCATCATTTTTTTTTCCTATTTTCCTTTTAAATGGATTTTTGTTGTGAACTTCAAAGACTAATTAATTGAATTTAATGATATCAGCCGATTCCTCCTAAGCAAATGTGATTTTCAATTAATGATAATTTAATGCACATTTTAAAATTTAAAATTTTCATTTAATTTTGATTAATGGCTATTTATTGGTTATTTCCATATATAAATGTTACATATAGTCTTAATCTTAGTTGGTAAAAACAATTTATAGAATAATTTCTTTTCCAAAAGGGTATGCTTATTACTATGGATCATATAACTCAGATAATATGATTATACTATATGTAGTTCTAACCTTCAAAGAACAAAAATATTATAAGAATTTACAAAAGTGTTTCCAACCACAAGACTTTGACATGCTCTTCATCACTCAATAAAAATTATGGTGTTAAAAGGAGCAAAACATCAAACACCTGGTGGGAATTCATAAACTTGAATGAAAATAATAAAAGAAAATTATAAGAGCTAAGAAGAACCAAAACAAATGGATTCTAAAGAATATGGATCCCAACTTAAAAAGAAGGCGGCAAAATAAGAACTTGAAACTAATGGTGGTAGCCATGGTGTATAATGTAAATTTTTTTGATTGTTCATTCATCGTGTGCATTGAACGTTCCATTTTCACTCATATAAGAATTAAGGTCTGAGGATGGATATGTTTGACTTCAAAAATAAAACTTATATTCCTTGTGTTTTATGTTGTGATAGTGGATCATTTTCATTACATTATTAATTTGTAGCAAACATAAATGCGAAAAAATTTATGAGAATTATTAAAAATAAGTATAAATCAATAAATAAGTTTATTTTTATTTTCATGCATAACCTATAGACAAGTTAGTGTTAGAATTATTAATTTAAAGTTAGTAATAATGACGTATTTTTTTTAATAACAATCATGGTCAACTTAAGCCGATTTGAGGCCCTCAGCAAAATAAAAATATAAGACATTTTTTTATCTCTACCAGCGACGACTTAATACCAAAAACTTTTTTATTTTTAAAATAATATAAGTAGATACATAAAAATAGGCCCAGAAAAGAAGACACTGAGTCATTGTCTATGCTGACCTACCCTCTGATCCGACCTTGATAACAATATATTCCTCAATATTTTATTTATATATGTTCAACGCACAAACATTTGTCTAATTTTTTTTTATAAAAAATAGATAGAGACCAATGTCTAGTTTTTTTATAATAGATAGATAGACAAAAAAAAAATGTTTCTTAAACCAAACCATGGCTTGAAATTCGTTGCAATGTAAGGAAAAAGGCATCTCCTCTCCTATGGATACAAGTTGTTTTAATTTAGCCAATGTTACACAACTATACCCCTCAACTTACTTTCTTCATTCAGAATCTACCCAAACTCCTGTATTTTCATTTACATTGGCTTTGTTTATTTTTATGTTACGATTTACCCCCCTCTACTTTAATAAGATGCCAATATAAACTTATTTCCCACCATTTTTACATACTAGGCCCGCTTTCACATTTTATAGTTCCACATTTTCCCAATCCATTAATCTAAATAAATAAATAATTACTTTCCTTTGCAAATTGTAATGTACCAGTAAAACCAATTATCCTAAAATTGCAGATGTCACATACAAACTCAATCAAATTTCATTGTTTATGAACCCTCAAAAAAACCTCCATCCACGCAATAAATTGCCGAAATAAAAGAGTCAAGCTCAAAACATATCCGAGTATCATGTTTGAGTATCATGTTTGAGTTTTTTGAATATCTATGTTCATGCAGTTCTATTTTATCCTAGTTTGTAGTTTTTAGTTTCATTTTTGAAATTTTGGTTTTATCTTTGAAAAAATTAATGTGAAAAGAAAATATGACACATGAGTAAAAGACTGTGGAAATTAAATTACATATTTACTAATTTACACTGCCAGATCTGTTCTTGACACGACCAGCATAATGGTTTTGAAAATATTACTGTAGTTGAATTTTTTTGTACATTATTTAGATGCATTCAATAGTTTCGTATACTAAAGCAAAAACACTGACTAAATTATCTGGTTGCAGGCTATAAATTCTGCAATTTGGTTGGTTTGAAAATGACAAAATACACCTAAAATAATTTTGTTTCAGTAAAATTTTATTAATTCTAAATCAACATTTAATGATCGCAAAATACGAATCCTCAAAGCATCTGTTTGTTGGTTGACCGCTGTTTATTCTGTTGTGGAGACCGATTGCCATGTGGTGGGAGGGTGACGCCCCTATGTCGTTATATATCTATCATTTAAAAAAAAAATCAGTGCTATAAGTTTATAATCAAATAATTAACTTGATTAATAAAATTTTATTTATATTCTACATAATTTCTTTTTGTTTATAAATGTATGAAATAAATTCTTTTCATATGTAGTTCACCCATTTAATAGTTGTGTACTATGTAGTGAATAACATTTTTTTAACTGAACTGTGTATATACTAAATCCTCCTAAATTTAAAATAAGAAAAAAAATTACCAACCTAAAATAAATAAATATATACAAAAATAAATAAAAAATTTAGTTAACACCAATTATATCAGTTATCAAACGTCATAATATTAATTTTTTTCTTTAATAAAAAATTAAAGAAAAAAGTGGGAGGCGTGTGGGGAGACTTGGAGAGCAAGAACAAGAAGAAGACAATCCGCGTATTCCGGGTTCTACGGGCGGGAAATATAATTGGTTTGAAGAATTTATTCCCGCCAATTAAAATGAAGTAAAACGGGCAGAACGGGCAGCTGCCACTTCCACACTTAAACCGCCTAACACCTAGAATCGCTTTTCCATTCATCTTTTTTACCCTTCCACGTTCCAACCTTTTAAAAGACTAATAATTTGCTCTTATCTTTTCACTTCTGTTATATCCGGTTTGAAATTGAGATAGAAAATAGAATCGTTTTATTGAGCTTGAAACGTTTTTTTTGGGTCTACATTGTTAATGTAAAAACTTAAATGATTATATGTTTTTGATTTAAAGTTGGATTTGGGATAAGCGACTTAAGCAAGTTAGTTATATTTTTGTTTTGTTATTTTATTATATGAGTTAATTAAAAAAAAGATTAAATATCAAAGTATAAACAATACATACTTTTTAAAATAAAATTTCAAATAAAGAATGAATAAACGTATTAATTGCAATTTACTATCACATTAATTAAATTTAATAATTTACATATATAAATGTAAGTATTATGTGATTTTTAAATTTTAGAAATTGAAATAAAAAAAGCCCATAAATTAATATTTAGATATTATTTATTTCAAAAATATTATAAAATGACACGTATCGAAACCAATGAGAGATTGACATGTGGCAAAATTGATCTTCATTTATTATAATAGGGTAAATGGCACAAAAGTCACTAATGTTTTACCTTTTTCGATATTGACACCGTGTTTTTTTTGTTACAATTAAGTCTATGTTTTCAATTTGTTACGGTTATAACCAGTTGACCGATTTGTTTCAGGTCATCCGGTTGCCACAGTTGACGTGATATGATGACGTGTCAGAAGAAAAAAAAAGATGCAAAAGACATTGTTTTCATTTTTATCCATTTTGACACTAAGTTTTCAATCCTTTTCAATTTTGACACTAAGTTTTCACTTTTCTCAAATTTGTAACATAACTGAAATAAACATATGCAAACACATAAATGCTCCATTTGTTCTATAATATAATAAAACATATGTACAATAGAACATCAAATGGTTTTTCATCACTTTCTTCCAACCACCAAGAACCTCAAAAACTACGGTTCATGGGCTATCATCACCGGAGAAACCAACAGCATCAACAAGCCTTTGCTTTCCAACTAGCTCAAAAAGGTCTTCACCTAATCTTGGGTAGCAGAAACCTATCCAAACTTAAAGAAGTTTATGATGAGATTGTATCGGTACACCCAACCACAAAGATCAAGATTTTCACTGTGGATTTTTCCGATGAGAATATGGTGGTTGGAGTTAGGTAGATGTAGAAAGTAATTTAAGGTGAACAACTGGATGTGGGTATTTTAGTGAATAATGTCAGGGTGAATTGTCTTGCAGCTAGGTTTAGGAATGGCAACAGGGTGGGTTTGGGGCGGGGTATGGTTTCCCAAACCCGCACCGATATCTTTCGGGTATCTTATCGGGGTGCCCCATCGGGTTTTGGGTTTTCCCGTCGGGTTTCGGGTATCTTATTGGGTTTACAACAATTCATAGCGAAATCTTTATTCCGTTTTAAGGTACCCTGCTGTCTTATAAAAATAAGTGTTCTAGCCTCCCTTTTAAATTAAAAATATGACGAATCACTTCAATAAAATAAACTGGACGTTATATTAAAATTATTTTATTTAAGTTTAGATACATCAAAACATAAAAAATGATCATTCACACCAGATTGTTAATAACTAAAAAGATTGTCCACAGTAAGTATTTTATCTTTGAATGTGTGCAACTAACATCAAAAGGACTCGAACACACACACACACACACACACACATATATATATATATATATATATATATATATATATATATATATATAAGCTTAGGTTATTTTGTTTTTACTAACTATTGTGTGCCAGAATGCATAGATCTGGATCACCGGATGGAATAGAATCAAAGGTCATGATCTGAGGGTCTATGATATTAGAATAGGATAACATGTACCATATAATCATACAAATTTCAGCATAAGGGCATTTTAGTCAATTAACCTATATTAAAAAAGGAAATTTTCGGATTTTTAGGGATAATATCTTCCTTTATTTTTAAAAATCTGAATATTTTAAATTAATTCAAATTTAAAAAATCCGATTTTATTTTGTCAGAATGATAGAATGCCAACCATAAACTGGTAAATATATTTTTCGATTTTATTTTGTCAGAATGACAGAATGCCAATCATAAACGAGTAAATACATTATGAAAGAATACACAAAATTGATTCTTGAACTAATAATATACCAAATAATTACATTGTATGATTGTGATTTATTGAATAATAACAACATTATGAAAGAATAACAAGTGTAAGTCTTAAAAAATAACAGCATTCTTAAACAGTGAGTGTGATCATTCTTTAATTCATTCATCAAGCCTTTCCCATCAGGTCTTCAAGCCATTTCTATCACAAATTCATTGCCACATATTTTGTAGTGATACACTTGTAACAACTGCACGTTAAACATATAACTAATTAACTACAATTTTATCAGAATACAACAATAATATTATTACAGAGTAAACTATTCTTGCAGAATGGTTTTGAATATTCTTAAAGAATTTGTATTATCAAGAATATACCCAACGAACAAAATATTTGAAATATAAATGCAGGAAAAGATCATGTTAATACAAAGATGTATTTTGAATGAATAACTACAAAGATGTATTTTATATCAGATGTGCATATATATATATATATATATATATATATATATATATATATATATATATATACACGATTGACATAAAAATTCAGTCTCACCTTCTACTATAATATGCTTCTGAGACAATCTTCCAGGCCTTTAAACTGGAAAATGAAGAGGGGGAATCAAGGTCAGAAATTTGAACTTAATAGCAGCTTACAGTATAATGAAATAAACAAAAATATTATAAAAAGGTAAACAATGTCTCAGGAAGAGAGCCTATCAAACAAGATGCATACCATTCTTCTAACCATCGATGGTTAATAAGCTTTATCCTCTTCATTTTCTTTGCAAGCAGGTACTTCTCCCTTATCAAACTGAAAATTAACAGTCTACACTTCCAACCATAACAATATAGAACAAGACATACAAATTACATAAACAGGTGACAAGGAGGAACTGGCTATGCCATCGAATTAACAAGTTTTTATTTCTTATAATTTACAAAAATAACAATTAAGTGCATAAGCCAAAACTGGCTATGAGCAATCATATTTCTGCCTTCATATCAGATTATATATAGCATCTTTTTGCCTTCAGATTAATAAAATATGCCTTTGTAATGATAAATTATGAAATAGAAACCATGGCTCCTGAATTTCAAATTAGGTCAAACAGAAAAAGGAATGAGGAAATTACGAAGTGAATAATGATTACCCAAAAATCGAGAAAAATATAGATGCATCGGCAATTAAGGCTTGTCCTGACCTCACTGGTGATGCCACTGGGTATGGTTTCCAAACGAGATTGACGAGAAGGTCTTATGGATTCTCATGGTAGGTGGTTTAAAAAGTCAAGAATGACGATTGTATAGGAGAAGGAATGACAGTGGAGGCAAGTTCGTTTGCAATTTCTATCTTGAACACCACCGATCAATTCTTCTAGGTCTGTCATTTATTTTGTGGGTTTGATTGTTGTTCTCGGAGAAGAAGAAAGTGGCGATGGCAACTTCAGAGAAGGAGGGTCGCACCGATGATGGATTCTTGTGACGCCGCCAGTGATTCACAACATGTACGTCGTTTGATTTTTTTGTGGTGTGATGCAAAGAAGAAGAACCTGTAGTGATATAAGAGAAAGATTAGGTCAAAAATTTATTTTCTTTCCTTAGTTATAGGATTTCAATTAAATGCTTCTATTAATTTAGAATACAAAATCTCTAAAATAACCTTATTGAATTAAAAAATTATTTAATATTTTCCTAATTTTTGATTGGTGCATTCATGAACATAATAATTTTTAAAAACATTTGAACCTAACTCTCTCTCTCTCTCTCTCTCTCTATATATATATATATATATATATATATATATATATATATATATATATATATATATATCTATAATCGGGACGGATTGGGTCGGGGCGAGGATAACCTACTCCCTGCCCCGAACCCGATAAAAAACCCGATAACGACCCGAAATGATCGGGTTTCGGGTTTCCCCGTCGGGTTCGGGTTTTGCCATCCCTAGCTAGTTTTTTTCATGAGGTTGAAGAAGAAGTTTAAATGAATGCGATGAAAGTGAATGTGATAGGTAGGAGTTTGGTAACAAGAGTTGTGATTGAAGGAATGGTTGAGAGGAAAAGATGTGTCACTATTAATATTGGTCCGGGTGTTGTCATTGTTGTACCTTCACATCCTCTCTATGTGATCTATGATGCCAACAAAGCGTAAGTTGGTCGTTAGTTGTCTCTTTCTTTCTTTTAATTTGATTCATGGTTCTCTCTTTGTGTTTTAAGATCAAATTAAAGGCATATATGGTTAAATTTTGAGTCAATAAACATGCACTAGGAATGTTTTTACAACCAAAAGGCAAACATGGTTTTGAGTGATGAAAACAAGTTATTTACATACACGAGGCAAGGTCAGAGAAACGATGGAGGATGGACAAAAAAGTCAGTAAAAATACGGGATTAAGGAATAAGTGAAACCCAATGGGTATATACTTTGATAAATTAAGGTTCTATAGTTCAAATCTTATTTACAAATATAGGATAAAAACTATATACAAACAAAGATTTTTATTGATGGGAGTGAAAATTTGATATATTTATTTCATTTATGTTGCAAATTGGAGAAAAAACGAAAACTTAGTATCAAAATTGGAAAACATTGAAAACTTAATTTCAAAACTGCAAAAAAAAAATGAAAACAGTGTCTTTTGCGCCACTTTTTTTTTTTTTTTGCTTATGACACGTCATCATGCTACATCAGCAGTGGCAACCGGATGACTTGAAGCAAACCAGTCAACTGGTCAGAATTGCAACAAAATGAAAAAAAAATAACTTAATTGTAACTAAAAAACATGGTGTTAGAATGGTATACACGGTTTAAAAATAAAATATCATATTTATCCAACCTAAAAGCTAAAATTGGTATTTAACCTTTTTTTAACTTTGACAATATCATATTTGCGCAAATCTGTTTTTTAAACACGTTTCTAAAATTTTATAATCGATTTTCATAGTTTATAATTATTTTAACTTTTTTTAGAGTAGATTAACCATATTGTCCAAATTAATAAAACTCGTTTGACTTAAGATAGATTGACCATTATGCCCTTAACTATCATAACCCTTTTGGAACAAATCCTGACCACGTATATGCAGATACAAATCATATGATCACACACATTAGCTCTTCCTTCTATGTCACCTTCCTCCTGTGTTCAGTGTTCCACGGGAAGAAAGGAATCGAACACAAAGAGTTTTGAACTTCAAATTCAGCCATTGTTATTGATATAAACCATTTCTCTCGAATTAATTTCGGTTTCTTGAAAAGGCTAGTCAAACATGTAAGTCGTTTTCCTCTTCAATTTTGGTTTCAATGATTTGTTGTGAATAATTGGATGTTGATTGTGATTAGTAGGTATTTCGATGGTCCAGTTAATAATGTTATTTTTTTAGCGATTATGATTCTGTTATGAACAATTTGTGTTAGATATGATTGAATTGTATCTAATTCATGGTTCTTACTTCATTGACATTTTCCCACGTGGTGCATTGTATTCACTCGATTGAAGTATTCTCGATGCATGCCTTTGATTTGTTTGTAAAAATAAAGTAACATGAATTGAATTCAATGCAAAACATATAGAGAAATCGAACTTTGGGATGCAATCAAAATGTGATCATTAAGAATCAAATCTAAACATCCTAATCGATCACGAAAAATCAAGAACATAAAACGGAGGTAACATAATTCACAAAAAGAAAATGACAATTGCTAACTATTCTTTGTCAACATTGCTAACTCAAGAATTGATTCTCCACTAATTGTAAGTTTTAAATTGTTTGGAAAAGAGGTGTGAGAACATGTATCGAGGTGCATAAATGAGTAAAGTATGGTTTTGAGGTGTTCGAGGAAAACTCTAATAGAGAACAAACTGATCAAGAAATTAAACTTTAAAGGTTCAATGATGATAAGAGATGAAATCATATAAGGAGCATTTTTTAGGAAAAATGGCACCGTAAAACATAATGTTGCGACAATTTAGTGATTTTGTTTGTTAGTTTTTGTATTCTCCTAATCTTATTACCAAATGTGGTAATTGATTCTTC